GGCAAAAGAAACGTTCGCGCGGAACTCGGAGTCTGCGCGGCAAATGGGCGAGGCACCTGTCGGAGTGGAAGGAGGTGACCCAGCGGTTCGTGCCGTCGAGAAGGTGTCCGGCGCCGCCGGCGGCTCTCGGCCTGTTGCTGGGCCGGGGGGCTCACAAGTTCATGGTGCTGGGGGATCGCCGGCCGCGTCGTCGTCGGCGGCTTCGACGGCCAGCGGAGCGCTAGCGGGCCCGACCTCGGGCGCGCCCCCGCCGCCGCCCCCGGCTGGCCCCCCGCCGACATACGCTCGCATTGGGTCAGGTACGCGGCGCGGTAGAGGCTCGGCGGGCCACGGCGGAGGAGCAAAGCGAGATGCGGATCGCGGAGCGTTCGAGGGGGCTGAGGCGAGCCGCGGTGGCCGACCCGTCGGCGGCGGAGCGGACTTCACGGGGCGCGAAGAGGTGAACCAGCGGGTGGTCAAGGAGATGATGAAGCGCCGGGGCAAGTCCGAGGCGAAGCTGACGGGAGTTCCAGCTAGTGCCCTTGTTTCGTCGGCGGGGAGGGCGAGCGGCGATTGCCCGTCGGAGACGCGACCCGCGTCGCCCCGTCGCCTTGGCGCTGCGAGCTCTACGGCGGCCGCGGCAGGATCGTCAGCTGGGCCGCCCCCCCTCCCCAGAGACGAGGGCGGCTGGAAATCCCGAAGCGGCAGGGCCAGCCATCGAACGAATGTGAAGTTCAAGGGTCAGCTTCCTCAGCAGGCGTTCGCGGAGCAGCTCGACGAAATCCCGGAGGCCCCGCCGGCCGAGTGACGCGCCAAGATGCCGGGGTGATTTCGCGAGAGGACCTCACCGGGCGCGTTGTCGGAGGAGCGCGCGGCGGGCAGAAAGGCGGAGGCTTGGGCGCGGGTTCTTTGTCGGGGGCCGCGGCCTCCCGGAGCGCCCCCCGGCGGGGGGGGCGACGGCGGCGTTCGCGGCGGCGGGCGCGGCGCCGGCGGACCGGCAAAACAGGCCCGTCAATCGGGCGAGCTTCGAGCAGTCGGCGCGCGAGGCTTGCGCCCCGGCGAGGGCCCGCCGCGGCGCGCGCGGCAGGGGCGGCCGGGGCCGCCCGCAGGGCGGCAAGGGGCGGAAGTCGAAGGCGGATAAGGAGTCGGGACTCAAGAGACGGGCGCCAATGCAAACTAAGGCACCGGACCCGGCCCGCGGGATCCCGCAAATACCCTCCTGGCTGACCCGGGTTTGCGAGCCGTTCGTTGCCGCGAGGCGGCCGCGCATATTGGCTGCCCCGGGTTTGCGAACACCTGCGTTGCAGTTTTTTCCCTGCGCTGCAGTTTGCTGGTTTCCCGTTGACCCGGGTCTGGATTGTGACCCGGGGCAGAAGATCCCCGACGGGGGGCCGATCGGCGCCCGGGCCCCCAGCCGGCCGATGAGAGCATGGCCGGGGCGACGAGCGCGGAGGAGGAGGCGAAGAAGGTCACGCTTCGAGATGCGCGGCTTCAGAAGCGCGCGGGCCTGGAGAGCGGGGCGGCGGC